GAATTCTGGGAGTTGAAGTCCACTCATCTTAAAGTGGCCAAGTTTGGACAACCCTGCTCTAATAAGTCTTAGCTTGCATGAGGATTATGGGAGCTGTTATTCAAGCCCCCTGGAAGATTCCAAGTTGGGGAAATGGGTCTGCACTGATCAGCAGCCATTTTCTGAGATTCCTCAGAACCCGAACCCTAACCCTAGCCCTGATTCTTGGAAATAAGAATCTAAACAGTGTCAATGAGAAATAAGACAGCAATCTAAGAATGCTGGGGGCATGCAAAAAGTTAACTCAGAATGACCTCCCAACCCTCTCCTTTTCAAAACAAGTAACCACAATAATAATCCCCAGCAACGTAGGAAGAGCGATCGTACTCCATTGTCACGAAATGTTTAATTTTATTTATTTATACATTCGAGTTTATTCTCTGCCCATCTCCCCCCAATGGGGAACTCTGGGCGGCTCATAAAGTACATATAGAATCCTAACAGTGAGAAATCTTACAATTAGTGCTATTACGCTATGTCACCAGGAGGAATCGCTAGGGGGTCATCCGGGCTTTTTTTCCTCCTCTGTAGATCTTTCTCACCGCTCGCATCCATCGTCGCTCATGCCAGCTGCCTTCGGAGTTCGGCCAGCACCGCTATTTTGCTCCCCCGCGCAGCCCCGCCGGTTCCTCCCATCTAAACGGGAGTCCGCATTTATCTACTCGCAGATGGAATAGCTTTCGAACTGCTGGGGGGGCAGGAGCTAGGACAAGGGACAGGAGCTCACCCCGTCCTGCGGAGCCGGGCTCGAACCGCTGGAGTGCCGACCATTTCTGACCGGCAAACTCCAGTGTCCTTGTGCCCTTGTGCCACCGCGTCCCTACAAAAAACTGCCCTACAAGGAGGTCACCGTTTTGCTATCTTTTCTCAGAATGCCTGACAATGACTTTCAAATTGTTCATAATCGAGGGGGCTACGGCTGCTGTTTTCAGTGACACATCTTTGCGGACTATGTTTCTGGGCTCTCAGTCATCCAGGTGGAATTGTCTGGAGGTTGAGTCATGGCGACTGGACTTATTTTCTTTCTGGTAGAGATGTTTTGCAAGGAGTGACACATCTGTAGAAATAGAAAAGAAGTCCAGTTGCCATGACTCACCCTCCAGATCTTCCTGGAGATCCCACACCCACCTGTACATACTTTCCAATATAAAGAAGGACCACATTCCCTTGTGATGTCTTCCCAACATCAGACATTCACATATTCTGCTTTTCACCATCTTATCATTTACAAGTGCAAGAATGCTTTTGAAAATCAGAAGATCAGATATTAACTTGCACCAAGCAGTCTTCCAAAACTCGCTGGAACAAGAAACAGCTTAGGATTATTGTTCTCCTATTTTTGGAAAAGCAAAGTCCATCTACTGTTTCTATCCTCAGGTGAGTCTCACAGATCCCTCAGCAAGTGGGAGGTAGAAATCAACTAAGACAAATAATTGTATTAGCAAACCTGGAGAGAACTCGAAGTGCTGTTCTAGGTAGTTGCTTATCTAGAAGATAGCACCAAGCTGATCTTGAAAAGCTAAGAAGGTCCAATCTGTTAGTACCTGAATGCAAGGCCTCAAGGAAATACCACAGCTGTAAGCTAAACTGGGAAGATGGAAAAGCATCTTGGAAAAGGAAAATGACAAACCATTTCCATATCACTGCTGGGTCAAAGGAGACTATGTTTTACTAGGAAAAGAGAGATCAGATCAATTGATTTGCTGGTGAAAAGGCAAATG